ACGCCGTTGCAATCGCGATAACACGTAAGACGCGCGGCGGATCGTTAAATTCTCGTCACGCGCTCGCATCTTACTCACGCGGTTAGTCATCGTTATCGATGTATTCCGATCGCAATCCATTCACGTTTCCCAGCGGCGGTAACTTCGCGTTCCAGGGACGAAGATGGGAAAATTCCGTCGAAGAGACAGACAGCCGACGATAATCGAGCCGGAGATCGCTTTCGATGTCGGCTCGCGAAATTTCCTCGTGACCCGCGCCGAGTTTCGCGCCGAACAAAGGTACACTGGAAAGGTAAAGCGCGTGCTGCGCAGCGATAACGCAGCCGTGAATTACGTAACTCGCTCGGCGTCGACTCGCGCCGAGCTGCGGCGATTTCCGAGCACGAACCAGGAAAATTATCTCTTGACGCGCGGACGGTTCTTGGAAAATTTCGGAGCGTTACGCAAACGTTTTCCTACGGCTAGGATTCGAAGGAGGTCTACGCGTGTGTGCGTTTAACAATGATAACATATGCGGGGTGTGCTTCGAAGTTGACTTCCTTGCCGGACGTAATTTGCAACGTTGATCTGTTGGTTTTTACGCAGGAGAATACGATTGAAAAATACAGGGACGAAAGATGACGTTTAAAATAGGAAAGTAACTAATCAAGTTCACTTGGACAGAAACATTCGGATTACTATTGTTTACAATTCACCTGCTCAAAAGTCGACGAGGTTAATCCGATTTTCTGACATTTTCTGATTGTTCTACAGCTTTCGAATACGTTACACAATCATCTGAGAAGCCAAAGCATCAACGTTCTCAGTTTTCCTCCAAAAAGTACACAAGTTCAATCTACTATTTCATACTATTTCGCACATATCATTAGCAACATACCATGATCCCGCAAAGAGCCATCGAATTCGAGCTCGAACGAGAGTAGTTCTCCCTCGTAAGCGCGGACCGGCTATTCCCGACAAAATGGCGACTCGCCGGCGGGCCGGGCGCTGCTCGACGCGTCCGGTCTGCCGAGTCGCGACGCCTCGGGTCGTTCTGTCCCGTCGTCGTCCGTTACCGAGAGGAAAGCTTTTCGAGAACAGAGGAAGAAAGTGTACCCGGAGCGAGGAGAAAGAGCGTAGGAACAGGTTGTCGTCGCGGAGGGAAAGGGAGAAGGCGCGAGGCGAGAAAAGAGAAGAATACACGGGAGAGGAGCGGAGTGGAAGAGGCGAAGAAAAGAAAAGAGACGAGGCGAGGCGAGACGAGTCGAGTGGAGTCGAGCCTCGAGACGTTTGAGCCTCGATGCCGAGGCTGTCGTGGCATGACGTCATCGTTCTCTATACCCACGAGGTTATCGTTCAGACTTGGCCTCGCCGGACCGCCACCCGTTCGTCGTTCGACCGACGGACCTATTCCCCGGCCCTTCGCGTCGCGCGCGCGAACTTCGTCGCACGAGGGACGTGCCTTCCCGACGGTCCGTTCGCCTCGATCGACGAGAAGTCGAGCGCAGGGAAACGGGAAAGCTTCCAGCAGCTGTTCAAAGCGTCGTACCCACGCGAGCGCGCCATTCCCGTCACGTACGGCGCGCCGCGAACGTGAGTTATCGTCCTCGAAAAGTAATAACGCGCCGACTTCTCGAGGCTGGCCGGCGATTCGCGTCCGTTCCGGGCGCCTATCGTTCCGCGACACCGTGCTACTCCAGAAACGTCGTTTCTCGGGCCCAAGCATGCGTGCCGGGACACGCGAAACGTGAAAGCTCGATGCGAGTATCATTGAAAGTCCCGGAAGGAACGCCTCCCCGGTGGATCCCGCTCGAACGCCGTCAGCCGAGCGTGATCGCTCTCCTAATCGTATTCCGCGCACGGCTCGGGACCGCCGTTCCCCTCCGCGAATCCTTAAAATCGCCGGGCCGACCGCGTCAGACTTCACGGAGCCGTCGTTCGATCGGGAAATCCGGCGAGACGATAACGAGTTCTCGAAAATCTTGAGAATCTCGAGCGAGAACTAGAGCGTCGCTCGCAAGCGGAGCGTCTCAAGGACCGCGCGGCAGCTGCGGGTAATTACGGGGCGCGCGTAAATTACCCTCGATTCGGCTGCGTTTGAAGAGGAGCGCGACGGAGCGCTGCGACGCTTCTTCGAACGGTTAGATCGCGCTGTTGACCCCCGACGACGCAGAAACAGGATCGGAGCGGCCCGCTCGGTGCCTGTAAGCCCGCCGCGAACTGTACCCGCGTGACGCAAACGCGGTGAGATTCGTCTGCCCTCGGCCTCCTCGATTCAACCGGATATGGAACAGACTCGCAGGGGCTAACAGCCATTAACGGAGTAACAGGACCACTAATGGCTCATTAGCCGGTGAACCAGGATCGCTTCGGCCGGCCGGCCGCTGTAATTCGCGCGGATACCAAACCGCCGGACGGCTCCTCAACCGTTTCACGTGTTTTTGCGAAAACCCGCTCGATCGCGCTTCTTTCGTTTCAATTTAGAAACTGTATATCACTTTTTCTACAAAAACAGATTCTAAATAGCGCGATCGTTACTCTTCCAGTCTCAGGCGAGCAAAAATAAAATTGAATAATTAGAAGCTGAATTTAGAAACCGAATGTCGCTTTTCCATTCCTACAAAACAAACTTCAAATAGCGCGATCGTTACATTCTTCTAGTCTCAGGCGAGAAAAAATAAAATTGAATAATTAGAAGGAAAAGAGATAATCATCTGATTCTAACCGATAGACTGCCACTTTCGGACAATCTAACAGCGCCATCGCGCTTGGCAGTTTTCTACCAAGTTTTCGCGAAAACGCGTGTAACATCCGAGCAAGTGTTCGCTTTATCTTCCGCCCACGAAGTCCTATCTCGCAGAAACGTTGCGAGCGTAAACAATGTGGTAACCGAGGAAACGCCGACGTTGCTGTTCGCAACAATGTGCTTCGATCGCGAATGCCGATCCGGCTGACCCAAAATCGACCTTATTCCGTCTCGGCCGCTCGAGTGGTCCCTCCGTTTCGAAGGAGGTTTCAAGGTCCCGACACCTGACGCACGTCCAAGAAAGAAGGATAGCCTCGGGATCCACGTTGTTCTCGGACGCCTAGCTCGCGCTACCGTTTCCTTCTCCAACTGAGTCACCGTGTAAAGATTCACGATCGCCGAAGAGGCCCCGCGCTCGGCTCCGGAGAACGGATTTCACCTGTCGCGCCGGGATAAGAATGTGGAGCGGAGCCCGCGAGTGGGAGTCGACCAGTTTTTAAGTATACCGAGGACCAGAGAAGAGGAAGGGAGAAGAGGATCATGGGAGAACAAGCTTCCGTTGATTTTCCACGTGGAGGTTTTCCGTCGGGAAAGCTCGATCGGAAACGCTCTGGGCGTTAGGTCAGTTTCGTTGGAATAATCGATGCCCGTTCATTTCGCCGGGACACCGGCGAGCAGGAGGCATCACCGCGAAACCGGTTTAATTTTGCGCCGATTAATTCCGGAGTGTGCGTGTTGTGCAGTCCCTCGAGAATAGCCGGCCTTAGCCGGCCGATTATTCTCCGGCGAGCGAGCGGGCGAGCGAGCGCGCGCGGCCCGCCGTTGTGTAAGGAGAAAAAACGAAGAAAACGCGGGGAGCCCTCGGCGGAGACGAGAGAACCTCTGGGAAAGATGCATTCGCACGGATCTCGTTTCCGTCGACCTCCTTCGCCGTCCAGTCGCGCCGCTTCCGACTGGAAAATCCGCGTGAACGCGCGATCGCCGGATGACGCGTGTCTAGCGGAGAGACGCAGGGCCAGTAAGTGTCCCGATTCGTTCTCAGTTTGATCGGTTACTTGTAACCACATGGACGAGCAGTGGTACTCGAAAATGTTGAGAATTAGCAGATGAAATGAACAGGTCGCTCGATAGACCGAATTTCTCGGTCTGACCGTCGAGAGATCCGGAGTTAGAAGCTCGAACGCTCGCGGACTAGTTTCCGTGAAAACGGAGACCGATTTATCGAGGAATTCGTGGTATCGCGCCTTTTTAGAATGTGGTTATTATAACTGCTCCCGGTTGTTCGTTGCCGCGGGAACGCAGTCTGTCGACTGTGCAGAATTCGATAGTTCCGCGAACTACAACCGATAATTTCGTTGCAGCGACCGATTATCCGCACCGCTCCCGTGAGAAAAATGGAAACTCTTTTCCCGCGGCGCTGGGTTAGGCAGCCGGGGAGGGAAAATGCTCGTGTCTGCAGTGCAGACTGTGGTTTCACCGGGAAAAATCGTTTTCCTGGTCGAGTTTAACCGGTGAGCTGGCCGCCAGCGATGTAACTTCCGGGAGCGATCGATGATCGAAGAGCGACTAACAAGGAGAGGATCGGACGCAGCAATCTGATTTTTAATGAAACTCTGTGTTGCAGTACGTATTTAGAAATGAAAAGTCCTTGTAGCTTTTCTGACGGTGGTCTATATTCGGATCAAATTTTAACCCTTTAGGAACGAAGATTCTTTGAAACGTAGAAAACCTTCGGCAGATGAAGTTAAATTGTAATTGCTTAACCCTTTGCACTCGACAATATTTTTCACTAAAAAAAAGGGTTAACATTGAAACTATCGAGCAGTTAAATCGACTTTCTAGAATTTCTCTGCAGAAACATCTACAACGTGCACGGAGTTTCATTAAAAAACAGATTTTCATGTCCGTTCTCCTCGTTGGAAGATCGACTTTCCATTTCCGCGACAGACGGAATATCGCGGACGGTTCGCGCAGCGATACCGTCGAACCTCGCGCTTTCTTCGTCCGGCGCGTCGCGGTGGATCGCGAATCTCGTCCGGTTTACCGGCCGGCGAAAAACAGACCAGAGAAAGACCAAGTACCTCTATCGAGAGAAAGGTAACGAAGCACGAAGGAACGAAAGACCAAAGAGACCGGACGGTAAGGTCGATGAACCGGCGACTCGGGCCTCGCGGCCCTTCGCGATCCTCTTCTCGCTCGTATCCGTTCGTACTCGTTCGTATTCGTTCGTATTCGTTCGTACGCGATCGTATTTGCACGGCGAAATTTCCCATACCTGTCCCGGTGAGAATCCCAGCGGCGCGAGACAGCGATCCAGGACTCCGGGACTCGGGATGGAGGAGCGGAGACGCGGAGACCTTTCGTCGGCGTCTATCGGTGCGAAGCTAAACCGAGCTGGACTCGAGCTGCAATTCATTTTAAACGAACAAATAATTAATAATACAACTTAGCCGTTATCTGGACATATAACCGGACGAATAGCAGTAGCGATAAGATAAACAACGATACGGTATCGCCGCACGGAGCGCGGTGCCTGTGTACCTTGTCGATTCTAACTTTTCGTATTTATGGTTAGAACCGTTTTTCCCGGGCGACTCGAACGTCGCGAACAGGGCGGAGAGGGACGAAGGAAGAGGGAGGGAAAGGAGGGCAGTTCGAGTCACGAGCGAAACTGCTCGTCGGTTCAACCCTTCGCGGACGAACGTCGACGTTTCGGCGGGACGAGGTGTTCGCATTCGGAGGACTAGGTCGCGAGCGAGTGATTCGATTGCTCGAGCGACGAGAGACCATTGCGCGGTGTCCTTTTTACATTGTTTAAGCAGTCGATGTAGAATGTAGCTTCGTCTGCTGGGGATTGTGCACGTTTCAAAGAATCTTCGTCCGCGAAGGGTTGAATTCCATCGTCGACGGTCACCGCGAAGCGCGAGCGAATACGCGCGACTTCGACATCCGAACAGAAGAGATCCGCGAATTTTATTAGCGAGACCATCGCGATCGATCGAAGGGATCGCGTCTAGATCGCGAGCAGAGGCGCGGAGGCTCCTGGGATTCCCTGTACTCCGATCGTCGTCGTCTTCAGCGTTAAATTCGACTTCACCGCGCCGATTCGCGGAACGATGAAGAAGCTTATGAAACGACGCGCTACACGCAACTTTCAGATATCCGCGGATTATACCGTTTACCTTGTCCTATTGACAATGAGAAAGAATCACAACATTTGCAGGATTCCTTCGTCAATTGCTGATACGTGGAGGAATATGTTTCACGATAGATACGAGACAATTTTAATATAAAGAAATTCGTAAAGAGTTTAGCTCCTGCTGATGATGGAAAAGAATTACAACATTCCCGGAATTTCTTGATGAGTTCCGGTTGAGAGGAGCCACCGTGTATCGCGGTAGATACGGGAGCATTTTCCCGTGATTACTTTAATCTCGATCGCATCCGGTACTGCAATTTCGTCCCTGTACAGATCGAGTTACGATGCGGGTCGAGACGCGATCGATTGAGCACTGTTCGGAGCGCAAAGGGTTGACCCTTAGCACTCCTATGTCGAGACTCGACATTCTATTTTATTGCAACCTCGACCTTTAACAATTTTTCCTATATTTATTTGTAGTATCACAATTGTATTTAAAGGTAACGTTTCAACGACTCCCAAATATTCTTGAATAAATAAATAGAGCGTCGTATTAAGCAATTGAATGAACTAACGTTGACGTGAACCTCAAAGAGAGAAACCAAAAGCTAAATTAAATACTGATTGCTTAAATAATAGCAAAAACAGAAGCTACACACTAATCTCTTGCTGCCCGAGCAATTAAATCATCTGTCTGCGACTCGGTCTTCCAAATATGAACATTTCATCTCGAAATGTCGACATTCATCCGCAAAGCGTAAACCCTTATCACTCCAAATGGTTTTGTAATCAGGAACTGCAATTAATTTCTATAGTATCCCTAGCGAAAATGAACGATGCTATTCTTAGATCTTTTATTTTCCTTAGTGCAAAATTTGGATGTGTGAAAATCTAATAGTTGTAGGGTAGTTTCCCTAAGATTCATTAAAATGTCTAATATTATTCCTGCAATATTGCCTACGGAGTTCAAAGGGTTAAAAGAAACGAGGACGCAGAAAAAAACAGTTTTTCAGTTGGGAAACCGGTGTTCCGGACGTAAAAGCGTTCCGCGTATCGGTCAGCGACATCGTTCGTCGTCGTCCAACCCTCGGTTCCCTCGATCCCATCAGCCCCGGAGCAACGCGCGGTCGGAGCGGCAGGAAAGCGACGCTTTCGCATCCTACTTTTGTTTTCCGTCGCCTTGCCGGGCGGCCGGCTCGCGAAAGGTCATCGACGCGCGAGTAAACTCGACGGGACGGAGGTAAAAATCAAACCGGCTAGTGAATCATGCGAGTTCTAGTCCAGTGCCGTTGGAAACTCGTACGAATCGAACCTCGGACGATCGATGCTCTCCGGGAATCAAGGTTAATCGCGAGCGGGCAATTTAATCTGGAGATACGACGCGATTCCGCGATAACTTTTCGAGTTCCACGAATAGATCGACTCTTAATCTATCGGAATTTTAAAGGAATCTGTAGACGTGAGAGAATTTCGGTGATTTGATAGAGCTACGCGCGAGAATCGCGTTGCGACGCAAATCGCGGGCGATCGAAAACGATTGGAAATTCGAGAGTGAGAACGCGGCGTACTGGTACAGCTCCGCAGCGCCGGCGGCCATTTTTACGCGTCCCGCGTTATCGCTGTCGATAGCGTTTATCTTATCGTCGAAGCAAATCTAAAGCGCCGTTGCATCGACGATTGGACGGTGAAACGATTAACCTTTTGAGATTCTTTGGAACGTAGAAAACGTTCAATAGATGAAGCTAAGTTACGTATCAATTGCTTGATTAATAGAAACTAAAGGAAACTACGCGCTGATCTCTTGTTTGACCGATTAAACCAAGTTTGCTACTTGGTATCCTATGAACTCCTATGATCTCGTGCTGTTTCAGTAATTAAATCGTTTGTTCGCGACTTAGTGTTGCAAGAACATCCGATCTCGCCGAAATGTCGATGAAATATAGAAAACCGTCAGCAGATGAAGCTAAATTCGATGTCGGTTGCTTAGATAATTGGAGAAGGGAAACTACGCACTGATCTCCTGCTGTTTCAGTAATTAAATCGTTTGTTCGCGACTTAGTGTTGCAAGAACATCTGATCTCGCCGAAATGTCGACGTTCGTCCGCGAAGGATTAAACGCGCGGCGCGTAACTCGTTTCGGAACACGGAAGACGATGGACTTCCTTCGGCGTAGCTCGATCCGATGAATCAACGAGGATTCATCGTTCGCTGGCCGCGTTGAACGTTAAACGATGACATCAGCGACTTTTCTTAATATTCCGATAAAACGCTGCCGCACCCTTGTTTGCGGTGTAGCGTTTCACGGCGCGGCGCGAGCGATCGGAGTGCTCGCGCGTAAATTAACTCTTCGCGCTCGAGAGCTGGCTCTGTCGGTCGTCGCTTGATTTAATACTAGAACTACCGTATCAGTCAGAATAACTGGTTTCGATTTTTTTGTTTAGCAATTATTGATATCTTCGAAGCACTGAATATTATATAATAATATTATAACATTTAGACCTTTAATTCTCCTCTCAGATCTAAGATCTAATAATCTGAAGGTGGTTCTCTTAAAATTCATTAAAATATTTAATATTACAACTGGTGCAATATTGGAGCCTAGAGTTCAAAGGGTTAATACCTTAAAAGCATTGAATATTTGAAATGATTTTGGAAATAGTTTCACTCGAGTACTATGATGAATATCCAAAGAAACTGAAAATAATCTATTGTTACAATTTTTATAGAGATTACATATCAATCGTATTAAATGCTAGTTCTAGTGTTAACGCAGTGAAACGAAAACTTGATGTTCAACCGTTTCAGAAAGAAAGTCGTCGTTTCATGGACATCAGGCTTTCATGTTTGGAACACAACGCTATAAACAGATAATCGAATTACTCGAATAGCGAGATCATTTCAGAGATCTCTGTTCCTTTAACATTTCGAAGTTCAATATACACTTCGAGTCTCTTCGCCGAAGATTTCGAATACCTCGGGAAGTCGTCGTCTGCAAAGGGTTCACATTGAACTTCGTATAATACGTCGATATGGAAACATTGGAAGAAAACAGCTTCGCTCCTCGATGTACTCGTGATTTCTCTTCGAGTTGGTTTCAGAGAATATCGTTGTCTCGTCGGAGAATCTTTCCAGTGAGAAAGTTTCGGCTACAAAGCCGAACGCCTCGGCTTTTCCAACGATTAGAGTATTAACCCCTTGGCCTACAATATCGTGTCGGACTCGCGATGAGGATTTCGAATAGAATTTGATGAATATGAATGTCACTCGACTCTCCCCAGTGCGGAAGACTTATTCTTCTGTTATCACGTACTGGATATTTCAAGTGAGAATCTCTCGAGCGCAAAGGGTTTGCAGCGACTTCGTCACCACGCTTTCGATTGATTCGTCCGTCCTCGGTTCTCTCTTGGACCGGGTATATAACATAAAAAAAATATCAAATAAAAATGTCGACGTTTCGATCAGATGAAATTTTCATGTGTGGAATACTAAGCTGCAAACGAATGATTCAATTACTTGAATTGCAAGTGATCAGTGTATAGTTCTTTTCTACTGTTATTTAAGCATTCGATGTATAACTTAGCTTCATACGTCGCAAGCTTTGTGTACTTTAATTGAAACAGTAGAAAAACGGCATCTCGAGATTCCACTATTAACTGGAGCAGCGTACCGCCGACGCGTTACTCCGAAAAGTACATCGTACAACCGCGCAGTACAAAAAATACGAGTAAACACCAGATTCTGATACTTCCGCGAACGCAAAACGTGGGTGTGAATTCTGCTTTATTGTCTCCTCGTTAACCTACACTCCACTCCCACGGGTTAAGCGCTCGAGTCTCTCTTCTTTGCGAGTCTCTGCGAGAAGGAAATCGCGAACGAGTCAAGAGTCAAGAAAATTCGGCGTCCAGGATTCGAGCGAGATAAGAATCGCGAGCGTATCGCGTACGCGCCGCGTGCACCTGACACACTAATCCGATTTCCTCGCGTGCCATTCGAGTCGACTCGGCTGCGGCGATTCTATTCCGCGTTTGCTCGTTTCCCTCGTCCCCTTCACGGTCGAACGGACGTCTCGTTATCGCCAGAGGAATCGGAAATCGAAAATAGGAAATTAGTTGGCTCGAGCGAAACGAGTTTCCCGGCTCGCGATCGAAATCGACGGCCGATCTCCGCGAACCGGTCGCGATCGCGGCGTCGCCGGGGTGCACCCACGCTCTGCGAAAACTCGAGGAACACGGTGTGTCGGTATCGGTATCGCAACAGGATCGACAAGGGAACTCGTCGAACCCGGAAATTCGAAAAATTATTAACCACTTGCGCTGGCAACGAATTGAGAGACTCGACAGGATCTCGCGCGAAGAATTTTGATTTTGCGTATATATTTCGCTAGATATATTCCTCATTCTCCAATGAAATATCAATGATACGTTTTATAGTTAATATTATTATAAATAATATAGAAGTTAAGGGATAGAACTATTCTACTTTAACGTTCCATGGGTAATTAAGTTAAATTTAATATTGAACATCGAACTTTGTAATTTTTCTGTATCAGACCAAATGGCGACTGTGAGCCTCTCGAGTGCAAAGGGTTATTGATATACAATTTAGCTTCATACGTTGAAGGTTTTGTGTGTCGAAGAATCTTCGTCAGAAAGTGTTAAAATATTTCCATTGAGAAACTTCAGAATGTTGGCGGTTAACGCATAAATCGAAGAGTATTCCACGAAACAAACGAATTCGGGGATAATTGCGAACCGTCCGCGCGCGCACTGTAAACGGGATCGCGATTTCCCTGGAATCGACCTGCTTTCTTTCCAGAAATCCAGGCAGTACGCGTGTGCGCGTGCAACGGGGAACGAACGAGGTGGCGTCGAAGGAAGCGCGGCCGACAGGAAACGCGTATCATGGGATTTTCCGCGAGGGAAATTCGCACGGGTCCCAGGCGCAGCCGCGCGAACCTTGGCGCGATGCGGCCGAAGGAATGGCGAACGGGCCGAGCGTGCGAGCGGCACGCAGCCGATCGATACGAGTTTGTTTTCCGTTCGACGTCACCGATACGACACCGAGAAAACCATGGAAAGTGCTCCTCGAGAGTGGCAGCGGCTGGATAATGGACGCGACCGGCGAATCGTGCGTCCGGAAGCTTGTTTCCCTCACGGAATTCTATACCTTGAAAGGTACAAGTGGCTCGAACGAATGTTTCAGACGAAAATTCTATGGTTTAGAAGACACCACGCGGTAGAAAGTTAACCTTTGGAACTCGAAAAGTTTTTTAATGAAAATGCTCGATGTTTTCTAATGAGATGCTGATTACGTTTCCTGAAATGGACTTGACCAGAGATCTTTGGAAAACTTATTTCCCAGAGGAAATTCTGTCTTGAAAGGTACAAACGAATGTTTCAGGCGAAAATTCTATGGTTTAGACGAAACCATGCGGTAGAAAGTCAACGTTAACCTTTGGGACTCGAAAAGTTTCTTCAATGAAACTTAATCGATATTTTCTAATGAGATGCTGATTACGTTTCCTGAAATGGACTTGACCAGAGATCTTTGGAGAGCTTATTTCTCAGACGAAATTCTGTCCTGAAAGGTTCAGACGAATGTTTGAGATGAAAATTCTATGGTTTAGAAGAAACCATCGTCGAGATACAAATTAACGTTATCTAGTAGTAGCGCACTTCGAGTCTAATCGACGTGACTCAATGAGAATAATCGTTTTGTAGGTTTGACTCATCGAGTGAAGTATGTTTTTATATGTTGATCAACATCTTACCGATTATCTACAAATAAATACCACGTGCTTCGATAAAGGCAGAAGTCTAATCGAAGCATTAGATTAATACAAGTGTATTATTCTAAAAAACAGAAAACAATCAGTAACCGGAAGTAAATGCTTGCAATCGCGTTCTCCATAGGAAACAATAACAAACTATTCTTAACGCTATAAAAGATTCAGATTTCCAATCAACACTGAATGAAACTGATAAAAGTCTTTAATCGAAGTTGACGCAAGTGTACTATTCCATCTTACCGATATGACTGACTGACTCTAAAAAAACAGAGAACAATAAGAACCGGAAGTAAATACTTGCAATCGCGATAGGAAACAATCCTGAACTCTATATAAAAATTCCGATTTCCATTGAAAACTAGATACGTTTAATATCGCAGAATCAAAGTGATTCGTCACATGTAACACCATTTTCTTTCTACTCCATCCTCTAATTAACCATTTACCATTGAAATGACCGTTCACACGCCTACTGAGCTTGTACTCTAACCCTTTGCACTCCAGAAATTTGTCGCTAGAAATATTCAATTTATCTTTATGAGATATAAATGACATTTTTTCAACTAACTTAACGAGGAATCGATTCACAAAATGAGGGGAACAATATTTTATTTCCCTATTTCACGTATCGACAGATTACTCAAGACTTAATGTTAAATACGAAATTTTACAATTTCGACGCACCAATAGAGTGGTGACTGAGGGGCAGCTTTCAAGTGCAAAGGGCTAATGTTAACCCCTTGCCCTACAACAAGTGAGACTCGTGGTGAAGATTTTCAATATGATTCAACAAATATATATATATATATATATATATATATATCACTCAGTTCATTCGAATTCAAAGTAAATATTATTCCCCTGTGATCAACTATTATACTTCAAAGGAAATATAGGAATAACATAAGCTTAGAATTTTTCTCTTTTTCCAATGAATTATCAATGGCAAAGTAGCTGTACCGATCAGAATTGAGAAAGAGATCACAGGCCAAGGGGTTAAACACGAAATTTTACAATTTCGATGCAGCAATCGAGTGACTGAGAGGCGCCTCTCGAGCGCAAAGGGCTGAAAAATAAAGCTCAGCCTCCGTATTTCCGTCGATCCGGTTACCTTACGTGCGCTTGCAGCGTCGGTCGCGGCAATTACACGACTCCCGCGCACGGCTAACGAACGCTTTGTTACCCTTGTTAGCGGGGACTGCGCGAAAACGGGGTAACGCCGGTCTCCGCACGCCTCGGGGGGCTCGGCGGACCGGAAATCTTCGATTTCGACGGTTCCGCGCGCGTGCGAGGTTAACCGAGCAGCCTCTGGAACTAATTCGAACGAAAACAGAGATGCGCACAGGTGTCCGTCGCGTTGGCTCGCCAGCCAGGCAGCCTGGGCGGACTGCCCCAGACGATCGAACGAGCGGCCAGAACGCGGAAAACTATCGCCCGACCAGAACAAACGAACCCGATTGGCGAACCGTCTCGGAGCGAAACTTGGACCGTACTGTTCCGTCGAATAAAACAGCTGACTCCTTTCTATGGAAGATTATCTGTTCCCGATCGCGCGCGTTCGAATCAGTCCCGTCGGTGACGACGACCAACGGACCCAGTTTCCGGTGACGTTACCGAGATCCTAACGCTGCGAGAATTTGGAATAAAAAATTCATGCTCGTTGTATAATGTTTAGAAATAAACTTCATTTCGAAACGTAACAAATATGGTGAGGCAATGTTTATTGTGCGATAAAGTTATTATTTTAAATGTGTCTGTATTGTATCTATTGAGAAACGTAGGAAATCTAGTGAGGCAATGTTTATTTTGTGATAAAGTTATTATTTAATATGTGTCTATATTGTATCTATTGAGAAACGTAACAGATCCAGTGGAGCAATATTTATTTTGCGATAAAGTTATTATTTAAAATGTGTCTATATTGCATCTATTGTGTTGTGTGTAATGCAATAAGACTATCGATGTATAAGACACGATCGTCAATTCTGCGCGACTCGAAAACCATCTGGAGTGCTAAGGGTTAACCCTTCGAACTCCATAGACTCCAATATTGCCCCAGTCAAAATATTAAATACTTGAATCTCAAAGAAACTACCCTAAAATTCTTAGATCCTCCACACAACCAAATTTTGCACTAAGAAAACTAAAAGATCGAAATGTTGCATCCCTCATTTTCGCTAGGAACACTAAAAATTAGTTCCCAAACCAACCTGTAGTGCTAAGGTCAATTCCAAACAATATCGGAAACTGTCGACTATTTCCAGTGGAAACCTTCCGAGTACAAAGGCTGCAACTCCTCAGCCACTATTTCTGTCAACCTTCGTCCCGGTACACATGCAAAAACTACGAAACAACCGAAAATCTGCATGCGTCGTTTATCGCAACGCACCGGTGCAACGAACTGCAGTTCTACATTTCGCGTCGGCGAGCACGGTGATCGAAGTGACCCGTGGAACGATTTAGGTTGTCCGGAGGTTGCTGTTCGACTGGTCGGCGGTTCCCCGTGCGAGTGTCGCACGCGCCGCGTCCCGTGCAACGGTCCAGCTTTCTCCGCGACGCAGCCGGATAAGGCGCAATCGGACGCGGACGAGGTTCGCGTAGAAGTTGGGATACTCACGCGTTCACCTGGCGAGCCGTAAGCTGAACGGGGACTCGGGGATCCGATCCTTCGGTGCAAAGCGAACGGCTCGATCGATCTCAGAGGCGGCAGCGATCGAGCAGCATGGCGAGCGCCGTCAGCTCCGCACCGATCGACGCGATCGCTAGGCGCCTGTGACCAGCCGAGAGTGTCCGGCTCGCGGATCGCGCTCCGATCTGTTCCTCGGTGAAGCAGGGAAACCGACGCGGCGCGACCTTAACGGGGGTACTGTCACGTAGCGTCGAGTCGAAGCAACGCGCGCGAGGGCAGCCACTGGACTGAGAATCCTCGGGACTCGGCCTCTCCGACGACGCGGCGAATGGAGCCACTCGCGCGTCGACGGGCCGACGCGACATGGCCGAGGGGGCGCGCGAAACGCGAAACTCCGACAGAAGACTACCTCGCGCACGCACGCACGCTAAACTTGCACTCGCGTCTAATTGAAAGGTACACTTCGAAACTCGTGCGAAACCTTAATGAAACGGCGCTCGTAATAGGAAAGTGAAAAGAAACTTCGGGTCACGATGTATATCGTGGCGTACGGTAATTCTGCTTAACGATCGGGAATAACGATCGCGTGGAATGCGCTTTACACGCGCCGGTATGGGTGTTTGCATGCGCCGGGAGCATAGACGGAACGGATAATGGTTGCAACGTGTGGCCGAGTTCGTTAGCCTTACCAGAACCTTACGGGAACATTATGGCGAACCTTATGGCGAACCTTATGGCGAAGCGACCTGTTGTCGGGCTGCTAATGGTTCGTCCTTCGCGTTGAACCTTCGTTGGTCCTGTTCGTCTCTGACGAAGCGCACGGGGTGACGTTCTGGGAGTAAACGGCGTTAGATAATGGGAATAACTCCTTTCGGGGTGAAGGAAGCGTGTTTACGTCGACGGCGGCCATCTTTGAGAGGATGGTTCAGCTGGGATGCTGGACGAGCCCTGCTCGGGTGGCGGGAGATAATTAACCCTCGAGTGACTCACTCATCGCCTGATTTTATGCTAGAACTGTGAAGGTTGATGTTTAACCCTTGCACTCCAGGTTGTTGATCGGCAACTGCAACTAATTTTTATGGTATTCCTAGGGAAAATTAGAAATGCAACATTTCGTCGATCTTTTATCTTCGTCCTTAGAAAATTTGGATGTGTGGAAAATCGAGAATTTTGGGATAGTTCCTTTAACCAGTTAACTGTGACGAGTATACACGTGGTAAAGCTTGACACGATACTGATTCCTACAGCGATGAATTCTTGATTTTTTCACATAAACATTTAATTCTCCTTTGTTCTTTGATCTTTCATTTAAATATACTACGTGCATTCGTCCTGCGTTCGACGAGTACACGCTTAATTTTATTTTATTACGAGAACCAGATGTTTCTCCAACTAAATTCCACAGTTAACTGGTTAAGATTCATTCAAATATTTAATATTATAACTGGTTCAATATTTGAACCTACGTAGATTACGTTTGCGGACCTCTCGCGTGTTTCATCTGTTTCTCCTGCGATGCAGCGGCTAGATTCGGAGTGAATGTATCGGTTAATTGTATGTATAAAATGCTCGAAATGTAGAAAACGTAATATCAAGTTACTTCATTGAATCGTATTATCGTTATTGCACGTCGATCTTGCCGAATGTCACCGAATTAAGTAGTGTTACTTACAATATAAAAATATATATATATAATAATCATCGTTTAACTCTCTGTAGGCCCATGTAACCTTGAAGTCACGTATCAGTATATTGGCTTGTTGATTTATTTCATTCTGCACTGAAAGTGGTTAATAAAATGAAGTAATCAGTTAACTTAAACTTTCATACACTCAGGCGTGACAGTTTGTCATTGTAACTTGAAAGTTACAAAACATATTCGTTTGATGAAATTATTGAATGTATTACATTGTTAATTCGTATTCATATGTGGATATTTATTAATATTCTACTGCATAGATTTTGTTATAATCATGAACAAAAATTCGGCCCATAGAGGGTTAATTCACCGAATTGTAGTAGTTCGATTTGGTCGGGGGTCACCGGTGACCCGCCACGGCAATCGACGGGTTAAACGAGTCAAATGAAATTTCGCGTAAGTCAAGGTCGGTCTATCGGACGATATCGATATCGTGTACGATCTCTGGGAAAATTTCGCGTCGTATCCGGCCTCTAATTTCTTGAAGCGTCGGTAAGGTTGAATGTGACACCTCGGGTGATGATATCGTTGAGCCGTCGTTCACGATAGATGGTGTAAGGTGAAATTTACAATTCAGAAGTTGCCCGTTGCACCGGGAACGACACGATCGGTCAAGACACGATGCAACGTGTCATGACCCGGGCATTTCGTTGATCTGCATGTTACGCGATCGTTAGGGGACGCGATCTTGCGGCCGGTGCGAGGACACGACGCGCTAAGATCGCGCGAGGGTGATACGTAAGCGTAACAGCGAAAAACGAGGAAATAAACGAGCGTTCAGCATTGACACCAGCATCGACCGACAATTGGTATCCAGTACTCGTACGAGTAATTAACCCTTTGCGGACGAATGTCGACACTTCGAGCTGAAACTTTCATGCTTGTTACACCGAGTCGCAAATAAATGATACGGCCACTCGAAATAGCAAGGAATCAGTACACAGTTCGCTTATCCCCTATCGATCAAGCATTCGATATCTAATTTCGCAGATTTCGCAGAACGTTCTCTATTATAAGACTCTGAACAATCTTCGTCCACAAAGGGTTATCGCTGCAAAGACGACGCAAAGTCTGCGGAGAAACTCTGAAACTAACGAGCGCGGCTCACGCGTAAGGTGGACAGGAAACGAACGCACCCAATCGTTCGTAGTAGTAAACATGAGATAACTTATTTACAATATCAACTTTATTACATGAATTCGCTATGTTATCAGGATTTTACCGTACATCGAAAATTCGCCTGACTTTCGGAGTTACTCGTATTTACAGCTCTTCGTTCTCGCCGAATTTTACGCGTACAATGATCTTCGTGTACGGCGAGCGAAAGTGTCCATTATGACGGACAGCGGGATACATTGTAGAAAAGGGACACACGGAGATTGGACAGTCCGGTTGGATGCTCGCGACGAGGACACCGTTTCCCTTGAAGTGCCGGCACCGCAGGGTTTCGTATCGTCGAAGATGCTGCTAATGCGAGGAGCGACCAAATCGGGGAGGGGTTGAAAGGAAGGAAGCAGAAGCTTTATGTAAGAACAGATTGCGATGGTAAAATTCCGAAGCCGCGTCACAGGCGAGCCTGTGGAACGCGCGCGCGGTCGGCGTTATCCTGCGACAAGATGGCGCCTGTACGTTCTGGGAGATCGAGTGCTCGGGTCTGTAAGGTGCGAATGCTCGATTGTCCTCGCGTGCGGTCGGCGTCGCTTCGCGATTTGGCCACGCCGGTATGTTTGGATGTCGGGTGACTGGGTTTAGAGAATCCCGAGTGGCTAAAAGAACGCGAGGCGGAACATTTCGAACGAGGGAATGGCCCGGGAGAATGCAGCGATAACGAGCGTGAACGTATACGAGTGAATGTTGCCCATGGTCGCTCGGTCAGGGTACAAGCGAGAAAGGATGCGGATGAAAATCTATCAGCTGTACGAGGCGAAGGAAATTTATTGACGAGAAATGGAAGGGTATACCGGAAAGCTGAGTCGTTGTACTAACATCACTTCGTCGTTAATAGAATTGCGACCATAGATAGAATCATCGACGTGTATAGAACGGTGGACGTCGCAGAATTGCATCCATCTGTAGTGCAGGATGTGCATTCCAAATGCTCTGGACACTTAAAGTCGAGGGGTCCGTAGCTTCTTATAACAGTCTCTGCAACACGGAAACACAAATGAGACATTCACGGTTAAGTATTTTTTTACTAGGCTGCCGTTTGGTGAAACGAAGAGATAGATATGATATATTCCGCAGATAATCGGAATAAATATTACACAACAACTTCCATTACCATTTCCAGTGATTTTCCAGCACGCCAATTCTTTGTCGTCGTATACTTCTCCTCGGAAGAAACGGTTTATCACGCTCCGACGTTCCCTCGGCATCCCATTGCCTACGGATAGGTACCATTTAGATAATGCTGGCATTCAATCTAATTCCACCGATGAATATTTTACAGCCTCGTTAGAAAGGTGCAAAGTTAACTTATATTATTCGTAATCTTACCATTTTGAAAAACAGCGGCGGAAGAAGGATTCACCGAGCTCGACGATTCGGAAGAAGGATTCACCGAGCTTGACGATCCGGAAGGAGGATTCACCGAGCTCGACGATTCGGAAGAAGGATTCACCGAGCTCGACGATTCGGAAGA